TTTACGTGATTAATGAAAATGTTACTATTTTGTTTTTTATACTTACGAGTTATGGGTAGAATAATTATGTGAACGTATTTTGCACAATCTGTTCTTATATCTTATGCACTGTAATAATTTCGACAAAATATAGTTTACGGTTTTACGCCGCCACGCCGGACATGCGATCTGGTCTTCGGCAAACGTCAACAGGCTAGTGTCGCTAGTGAATAGTGAGTTATAACTTTATAGTTATGAGCAATTGAAATGGAACAAAAAATATTTTGTAGTATTWACTATTTGATAATGCATTAATGCTTACTTCTATAGCCAACAGGACAGGACAGGTATCGATGGCCAATGCAATGTGCATTGTGCACCAGCCGGCAACCACCAACGCTTTACGTAGTACGGCTCTACTGCGATCCGAGACTGACAACCAATAAAAATAAATATAATATTATGGGTAACAAAAACAAAATATCATGTACCTTTCTCTGAGAAAAAAAGCGGTTTCCGTCTATCACTATTCACTATACAGATTACGGACTACCAACTATAGCAATACTTATGCTAGTCAGGCCGGGGTTACTGATCAGAAAAATAAACCGTTCGTAAGTTCATACCAGTAAAGTTTAAATCATGGTAGAGGAAAATTATGTGCGGTCGACTTGGAATAAACAACTAACCGGTGTACCSTCTTGACGTGCTACGACGCTACGAGTAAGTTCGATTTAATAAATGATAATAATAGGTCGGCTCGGTACGTTTCACCGGTACGGCGGTACATCGCAATATCTCATATTATTRAGTGACTTTTACTTCTAACTTCATTTCCCCMCACAGCAAATCACAAACATTATTATTTTATCATATTATGTTTAATTATTTTGTCCTAGGACAGATTTAATTACCAAATATTTCCATAAATACAATAAATTATAGATGTATACTTTTGATCATTGTCTATTTGAAACAATTAAAAGATTATAACTTATAAGTAATGTTAAAAACAAATAGGTATTAAAATAATCACAGTATTTTACAAAAAAAAAAAACCAATGCAATTATAGTACTGAATCAGCTATAATTAGGTAATTATTAATTACCATTTAAGTCTTAACATTTGTCGAAGAAGCCAAAATGTATTATTACCTATAGTCAATTTTTAATTAACTCTCTYCACACTCGTGACTAGCCACTACAACCCATTCAAAATAATTTTTGAACCACTTCTGTCTGTTTTAAGAACTATTGTCTTGTCTTATATTTTATTCATGTGAAAAAACATTGCTAACAGCATTTTATTTTTAACAGTTATAGCTGTTTATATGTTGTAACCACTAAGTCACTTAATGTAGTCATGTAGATACAATTACTGATTTGAATAGTTTTGATACGAAAGCTTCACACAATACATGTTGTATAATAATTGTTGTAATACTTTACAATAAGGTTATATTAATAGTCTAAAGCTAAATCATATTGATGGAGTTTTGGACACAGTTTTAAATTTCAAAGGTTACCTATCCTACCTATATAATATAAYACATAATGCAGTAGACTTAAGTTTACAGTCAGTGCCGGATTAACCACCAGGCGCGGTAGGCACGTGCCTACAGGCGCCGCTTTTGAGGGGCGCCAAAATTTAATATATTTATTGAAAATTAGAACAATTCTAAAAAATATTTTTTTATT